CTGTTTCTGATTTCGTTGTTTCTACCGCCCTTTGTCCTATCGTTTTCCAGATTTCTATATCTGTTAGTTCTGTTTCTGCTTTTGTCATTTGCAATGGAGAAGGTGCCTGTAACTGGCTCGGTGTCTCTGTTAATCCAAGTTTGAGATATGTTACCATGTTTAATACAGTCTGATCTTTTGTGATTTTTTCCCAGTTTTGAACTTGTGGAGCAATACTTCCCCCTACCACAGACTGTGCTTGTGTCGTGCTTTATGTTCACCCCCATTGTAATATTTCTGGGTGTATGTCCCCTAGCATGTCTCTTTGAATGTTTAGGGTCGAAAGAGGATTTAAATAGTACAAACCTGCCACCATTGGCTTTTTTTCTCTTTCTCTATGTCTTCTGGATAAGTAATTAGTGCTTCTACCACTGGAGTAGCCATCACGTCCACGGGTCCCGAATCCTGAGCTGCAGTGTCCCCAAAACGCCATGACTGTTAAAGGGAGCCCTCTCGAAACTCTGTGACTTTTGCATGTGTGGGTTTTGTAGCCTCCGAGTTCTTTCTCCATTTGTCTGGTAAATTGTTTGTCTTGAGTTTGTCTCTTGAAGACGTTATGGAACCCAGGGCCAAATAGTCATTGCTCGGCTTGCGAGAGCTGTGCAGCATTTCTCTTAAGTAAAGCCTGAGCTTTCTTTTCATCTGTCATCAGTTTACAAACAATGTTCAATGTCCTGTGGTAAGAGATGGCCACATTTGCCTGTCCTAACATGGGTGCAATCTGTTCCGTCAGAGACAGAAAACTGTCAGTGTTCACTTTTTGTTCACCATTCTTACGAATGTTGTCAAGTCTCTACCAGATGGGGCACGGGTGGCCCAGTCGTCTAAGGCGCCGTGATTCACTGTGCAGAGTTTGCGTCCCTTTGGCACGCCAGAAACCTATGATTGTGGGTTCGAATCCCGGGTCGCCCCGATTATGTTTCTAGGTTTGTCAGCACCATACCCGTGCTCGTGGGTTTCACTGAAGTGGTAAACCTCTGAGACCTGCATCACTTCGGGCTTTACTCCCACATTAATCTGACACGCCGTGATATAACTGGAATACTGTTAAAAGCGGCGTTAAACCCAACTCACTCACTCAGAGCTTTGCCAGAGGTCCCCTAACATTGATGAATATAAAGCTCTGGCACTGGGTTTTCCGTCCAAACAGAGGATTTTATGGCCTCTCCCTTGATATATTCTCGGCCATGTGTATCCAAATAACGTTTCATGTCAGAAGATAAATCGTAAGCCACACTCATGTCATTGCCTGCTTTGAAACGTTCATAATCTTCACCGCATGACGAAACTTTATCCATGGTGGAAACAGAGGAAGATGACGAAGTATTATCTGTCACAAATGACGAATCATTATGTCACCACGTAAGCCCGTTTGCGTTTATGTTTGCTAGGCTTAGATTTGGGGCATTTGTAGCAGTCACGTTCACCCCGCTGAGGAATTTAGTAACCTTCCCAGTTCGAAAATTGTCATGATGTGACTTCACTTTACCCACTACATCAGTTACACTTGTCTTTTGGATTTCGTTTGATTCTTGGCTGCTTGCGTTTGCCTCTTAAATGCTTGCATGTGGCTCTTGGCTTTTATCTGCCTCATGGCCTCTGACTGATCATACCCGGCCGTCTCGCTCATTGCTACGTTCTCCTTGAGAAAGTGATCTAACCCATTCAGCCACCGAGGCTTCCACAAAAATGAAAGTCCGACAACTGGTAGTCTAGATCACGTACTTTGAGTACCCCTCTATTTGTTACATTTGACCACTTTCTAAATGGCATTGTGTATTCATAGCTTTCGACCATGGGAGCCGTGCCAATTTGCACTTGTCAGAGGGGTAATCAATTTACGTGTTCTAGACTACCAGTTGTCGGATTTTCATTTTTGTGGAAGCCTCGGTGGCTGAATGGGTTAGATCGCTGACTTTGTGTGCTGGCTATAAGGTGCCTCACGCTGGCAAGCGTGGGTTCGAATCCCGGACGGGAATCCACCAAAAAAAGAACGAGGATCTGTACTTTACTAAGAAAGCGTTATCCCAAATATAACATTGGTTTAATCTCTAGATGACCAAAGCTCATCCAACTAATCCTCCCTATCAAAACCTGCATCCAGAACATACACAGCTGGGAAAATAACATTCAACAAGCCAGGATGGGATTGATGCGGAAAACGTGTCTTGTCGCCGCGAAGCCGAGGAAAAGATGGCGTTTCTCGCTCGTTACGCGAGTTCCCACTTTGAAAGGCTTGAAGTATACGCGAACTAAGGGACATAACCTGTTTATACCTTACTCCGGAGATGAAATAAAACTTAGTATTTTGCGTCAGGCGAGTGACGTCATATTAGGGCGTTCTATGGCGTCATGAAGTTGTTATTGGTTTGTACAAGCGATTACTCTACATAATGCTTTATTCATGTATGGGAGGCTGCCACGGAGCTGTGCTTCAATGATCAGGTATGACACTAAATAAGAATAAAGTGATAAATAACGTGGTAATAGGTTCACAGGTGTATTGAATAACTAGTAATTATACTAATGGTTGACAATTACAAAAAAAATCCTCTCTGCGCTCACACCGGTCACAAATTAATTCTATCAACGCAAATATAAACTTAGTTTGAGCCAAACAACTATATTACAGCTATAATAAAAGAAGGTAGCTAAAACAAAACTTTGACAAGATGTGGACCCGGTGCGTCGACTGCCAATTATGTCGGCTGCGACTAATTAACACTAGAGTTAATTAACTCTACGCTCCTATGAGAGAATGAAGTAAACAAAAGGGAAATAAACACCGAAAGCTTATCCCTAAAATCAGTCACTAAGACTACAAAACAAGACGATTTCGTCTCAATAAAAACTAGTCTTAATCGACTGAAGTTCCTGAATGAGCAAGAAATACTAAAGTACCTAAATAGAACAAGGAAATACTAAAAGTTCCCAAATAGAAGAAGGAAATACTAAAGTTCCCAAATAGAACAAGAAAATACTAAAGTTCCCAAATAGAACAAGGAAATACTAAAGTTCCCAAATAGAACAAGGAAATACTAAAGTTCCTGACTTAACAAGCAAATAATAAAGTTCCCAAATAGAACAAGGAAATACTAAAGTTCCCAAATAGAACAAGGAAATACTAAAGTTCCTGACTTAACAAGCAAATAATAAAGTTCCCAAATAGAACAAGGAAATACTAAAGTTCCCAAATAGAACAAGGAAATACTAAAGTTCCTGACTTAACAAGGAAATACTAAAGTTCCCAAATAGAACAAGGAAATACTAAAGTTCCTGACTTAACAAGGAAATACTAAAGTTCCCAAATAGAAGAAGGAAATACTAAAGTTCCCAAATAGAAGAAGGAAATACTAAAGTTCCCAAATAGAACAAGGCTATACTAAAGTTCCCAAATAGAGCAAGGAAATACTAAAGTTCCCAAATAATCAGGGGAAAGTTGGTATCCACGGATTACTAGAAAAACACAGTATTACAAAGTTTTGGAAACACTAGTCACTAAGCGCCTAGTCAAACACGGGAAGGCTGGTTATCCACGGATTACTAGAAAAACACAGTATTACAAACGCAAGTAACTACGTTTAGTTCAGTACAACCAGACTAAGTCAGAATCTAGATGACAAAGCCCCGAATCCACTTACCGACGAAGCCTGATTAGCGAGACAATCGTGAACGATTTAAGGTTACACACAACCAAATATTTTCCCATAGACTTCTATAGTAACGTTATATTTTTTGTTTAAATAACTAAGCATTCCACAGCTATTACCTGTACGAGTGTGCACAGTTTGGCCTTAGAGCAGCAATAAAAAAATAAAAATGACTAGCTTAGCCAGCTCCTTTTCCGAGTACCGGAAGCTAAACACACCACCCCATGTTTCGCACCAAATGTCACCTACTTGAAAATAGCTGTGGTCACATTCAGCATAAGTCATCGTGTTGAAAAAAAAAGTACTAAATATAGAAAAACATGGTCAGTTTTAATAACTGGATGGATGTACATTTGAAAGACATAAAAATCTTACAAAATATCCTCCAATCACAGCCTGCAGATGTCTCTCATTCTGCACTGAAGGCTACGAAAACCGCACCCTACGGAATCCGCAATGTCCAAACTGGTTCTGATTTGGTGTAGTAGAACCTGTACGAAGTCTGGACGTCGGAGGAGACATCCTGTCGGGGAATACAACTGACGGGGCCAACAAGCTAACGTGTGTTTGTAAACCCGGGGGAAATACGAATAGCCAACTAACTACTATGTCCCCACTGGAGAAGTAATTATCAACATAAGCTATCGAACGGTACCATAAAAGATTCACTAAAGCTATGTACAATTATTGACAAGACAAAAATTACTATAAATAAATGAGGAATATCTGAAGGTAGATATAAATTCCCCTAGTGCTTGCAAATCATAATTACAAAAACATTTTTAATACAAGAACATGGTAGTGAGCATATGAGAGACAACATACATCCAGTCATTACATGGTTCGAGAGTGTCATGAGATTACAAGAGAGAAAAATAGTTGGGCCACTAATTCTCTAACACCAAATGATCACACACTGTACAATAGTGACCGCCGGAGATTACCGGAAATAATGTCGGGGAACATTGCGGCACTGGACCGTGACATGAGGCCCGTGAACATTTCAACTTATAAATACAGTAATACACTGGTGAGGCAATTGCATCAAAAACAATACTTAGGTATAATATTTGAAGCGCGTGGTAGTAGAGCTTCCTTCACAGTCGTCTAAGGCGCCGCGATTCGCTGTGCAGAGTTGCGTCCATTGGGCACGCCAGAAACCTATGATTGTGGGTTCGAATCCCGGTTGGCCAAATTATGTTTCTAGGTTTGTCAGCACCATATCCGTGCTCGTGGGTTTAACCGAAGTGGTAAACGTCTGAGACCTGCATTACTTCGGGCTTTCCTCCCACATTAAGCTGACACACCGCAATATACCTGGAATACTGTTAAACGCGGCGTTAAACCCAACTCTCTCACTCTCTCACTCACTCACTCACTCACTCACAGTCATTTATATTATTTAAGAGACTGTGTAGGTATATAATTAGCACATTGGTTGACCCATAACCTAACAGCAATAACCTTTGTCTGAAAGAGACTCAACACACAGCCTTGTCGGACGCTTTCAGTGATTCGAATAATCTGTAAGAGGAGTTTTTGATATCCTGACAGCCTTCTGTATCTGGAAGGATAAACCCTTGAAAACCACAAATAAACGACCATGTATTCCATTTTTTCATTATTGAATACCACAAGAGCTTGATCGAATCGATGGCTTATCGGAAATCAACAAACAGTTTTATGGGTTTGTACAAGTGATAACTGGCCAATGGAATGGCTAGCTTTGTTCCAGAAGGATCCGTATATAATTACACGCGTCAGCTTGCCGCCAATCGCATTCCTTCATGACACTCGGAAGTCACTGATTGTTTGAGCATCCGCTGTTCAACCAGCATCATGCGTGCATTGAGACATCAAGTAGTATATCAAGTGGTATATCAAGTGGTGCTTCCGGAAATGCATATGACTCGTTTCAGATGTAGATGGTTTTAACTTGCAGTTCATTTGGGGAGATGCACAAATGTCCCATGAACTGAACGATTATTTAAATATTTTACAGAAAATGGTAGATCGTTTATTGAAGATGAATTTCATGAAATGCTTGTATGGGAGATGTTTTCAGCTCTAAGATGTATGTATCTTAAACATTATATGAAATCGCAAACTGCAACATTTGTAACGAGATATTTCATCCGAAAACTTTGACGTTGTATAAAACACATGTATATATTCGTATAAGGTCCAGAGAAACGTAATCAATCATTATACTGGCATGCATAGTTCCTGTAATCAAACAGTGTCTGCATTATTGGCCTAGAGCCTTTTACTGAATAAACTGTCTGTCTGTCTACACTGACTGATTACTCATGATATTACAAGTCAGCACACTCTATGAAACCTGACGCGAGCCTGACAGTGCGGAAGTAGCACCTTGGCGAGCTGTGCGCAGTCACGACACAAACCAAGGATGTTATGGCATGCCTACGGGAAGTGATGATGTATATGCTTACATTTGCATATTTTGTATTCATACGCACTTTGCTCTCCTTATGAGCACACACAGACTTTTATGTAACTTTGTCAACTCATTAAAATTTATCGATGGTAATACATATAATGCAAAACTCGTTCCCATTTCATATTAAGTTATACACAGGTAGTGTGTAGCAATACATGCTTCCTCTTTGCTAGTTTAGTACGAGGTACACTTTAAACCCCAAGGCCTACCCCATATCTGATCACCGTTCACAGGAAATATCAATGAAGAAGTTAACTGAGTAACCCTGTACTCACAATTCACGTGAGGTGCACATTTGCATCTCTATTGCTATGGAACTGATTACATGCCTACTGTTGACATCCGAGAAACTGATGCCCGCTTCGATGATCACACCTAATATATAGGTACAATGCCCAAACCCATTCTGCTGAACGTTCTAGAGTCATATGCAACCGTCTCAGAAGCTAACTGCAGCTTTGATCTTCTCCCAAAACTCCCTTTTATCATTTTCAACTGTTGGATACTTAATATAGGTGTCATAATTGATCTGGTCCCGGATATCTCTACTGAGGATTCTCGTGTCGGGTATGTCAGTATACCACAACACACACAGGACGTCTCTTCCAGTGTGGATGCTCTCCAGCTTAGCCATGTGGACTTCATAGTCACACCAGGCGCTCTTTGCAAAATCCGGTGACAAAACAGCAATGGTCTTCCTGCTTGACTGAATAGCATTGATGATGTTGGCAGTTATGGCTTCCCCAACCATGAAATCACGGTGATGGATGCACAACCTCAAGCCATAGTGTCTCTCCAGTACAGTTCGCATGTCTTCGATAACGAACCCTCTGTCTCCATCAGCATAGGAAACAAAGGCATCATAAGTAAAATGGTCTTCACCTTCTCTCAGTCTCTGGTAGCCTCTGTACTTCCGTCTGGTGGAGTAGTATAGATAGCGCAGCTTCCATCTATATCGGTATACCATACCAGCTCCAAATACGAACATGGAAAATAGTATTCCAACCACTGCTGTGGATATCAGAGGAATTACAATTTTACATCGTAGCTGGAGCTTCACTATAATTTCTTCTATATCTAGAAATGTAATGATTTCCCCATCTGATAATCTGCATTGTGTACTGCCAGGTTCTTTTATGGAAATATATGGCCTTGTTATCCACTCTAATGAGTCCAGTGTCGTACAGTCACATTTCAAGATATTGCCCTTGATGCTTAGGTGAAGACTGTCGTTTCTATGAATCAGTATTTGGTCAATTTGATCTGTTAGTTGTATTGGTATGTCTTCATATCTGTTTTCCGATATGTCTAAGGTATGGAGGTGCGTCATGTGGCTAATCTCAACAGTCCAAGAGGTCATCATGTTCCAACTTAAATCAAGAACCTGGAGTCTGGTAAGTCTCTTAAATATTGATGAAGGCAGTTCCCGAATAAGATTATTTGAGATTCTTAGTACTTCCAAGTTTGTTTGGTTGAACAATATCTGCCCATTTCTGTCCGCTTGAAGAGCCACTGAGAGGTAATTTCTACTTATATTTAAGATTTTTAGGCCACTAGCAAACATGAAAAATGTGGGAGCTATATGTGTACAGTAATTGTCAGAGAGATCCAGATATTCAACTGTGTGAGATTCATGTATTGGCCCTATCCACCTTGTAAAGACATTGTGGGATAAATCGACTGTTCTAAGTTGGTTTCTATGAAACTTAAGCTCACGGATGACATAGTTCAATTTGCTGTTGCTGATATTTGCATATGTTAAATTTGGAGGCAACTGTATTGTAACAAAATCTATAAAATGTTCATATCCTGTATTATAGTAATAACTATTATAAAAGTTCCTGTACAAAGAGCTATTGGTACATTCTGCCTCACAGGCATGCGTGCATATTCGTGAATATTGAACCATTGGTTGAGCCTCAGAACGCAGCCTAGGATTCTTGGAGGGAGTTGGGGGTGTACCAGAATCAACAAAAGGGATATTAGATGCGTACTGGTTTTCAACATAGATTTTACGTAAATTTGTCAGTACATTGAGATTTAGGAGATAGGATCCAAATGTCACTCTATTGCGTTTGATGGATACCAGTTCTACTGTTTTTGTCTGACTGAGGCACTCTTCATCTATGAGTTCCACTCTGTTTGAATCCATATAGATCTCCTTTACATTAAGATCAGTGAAATACCTGAAATTGTGTTGCTTTATGTGAACTCCTATGGCAAATGTTGCCACAATCCTGTTGATCTTTAATACTCTTAGAGATGAAAACCGAAGCCCATATAGAGCTTCACCAAGGCTATCAAATCCTAGATACTGATTGTTGGAGATGTCTAGAGTATCAATATGCCTCAGTGGCCAAAATGCACTTGCTTCAATAGAGTCGATTCCACATTTGCTGATGTCCAGGTACCTGACAGATGGAATGTGAAGGAAAGATGTATTCAGCAGATTCTGAATTGAACAGTAGCCCCTTTCCCCTGATACCGTAAGCTTAGTAAGATTCTTCAATTTCGAAAATCCATTCCCAAAAGTGGCATTACGTACACCATCAATGACAAGTGTCCGAAGAGCAGTAAGATCGCCCAGAGCTTTATCTGGGTACACTGAATCTGGGACCTTGCTGTTCTGTTCAATGTTCAGGGTACGCAATCTTTTCTGCTGTCTGAATATCCCCTCTGGATATGCTGTCTCGTTTAGCGGAAGATTGTTTCCATGGAGACTCAGTTGTATCAGGTTTGTAGCTCCGATAAAAGTGTCCACTTGTAAACGACTTAGTTGATTGAAGGATAGGTCAAGATGTTCCAATATGGTGAACCGTTGAAACGAACGACCTGACAGAGGATTAATTCTGTTATGAGACAAACACATGTATGATACTGAATTTGGAATCGTTTCGGGGATGGAAGATAGATGTTTGTCCGAACAATTGGCGATAAGTTTTCCATTGGATGCCACACTACACACACAAGGCTTGCAGGTGATGTTGAGATGCCCTCCTTGAGACGGAGTCAGGCAGCCAAGGAACAGACACAGGACGGGAAGCAGCATCTTAGCTGAAATCAAGAAGCAAAAGCTGTCAATACTGATATGAGATGTACCCCATAATGTTTTCGTTTGTCATCTAGGATGCTCCGTCATAAATGCGGCTTGCCATATGTTACATAATACACTAAGTATTTGTCATATTGCGGGAAAACAACGGAGAAGACGCAAGAAATGGGCTTTTCGGATTACATACATGTGGGGTAATCGAACCTGAGGCTTCTGCATGATTGGTGAACGCTTTAACCACTGTCCTACCCTAACACCATATTGTGTTGTAACTCCAATCTGATTTAGCAGGAACATAATTATAATACAACTAGCAAAACGTCAAAAGAAACGCGAGCCTTCTTATCTACTAACAAAGGAAGAAATATCCTATATTTATTTCGGTTCTGAATGGGGATACCTTATGATAAATATGTTACTGTCTTGTTTAATATATTACATAATTTGTAATGGGTGAGTGAGTGAGAGAGTTTCATATTCCGCCGTGTTTTGCAATATTACAACAACATCAAGCCAGAAGACACAAGAAATGGGCTTCAAACATTGAACCCGTGTAGGGGAATCGAACCCGAGTTTTCTGTGTGATGAGTGAACGCTTCATCTACTAGGCTACTAGGGCTGGGACGAGTCCAAATTTACTACCCGGGTACCCACCCCACTATTACCCGACCCTCCCCGGGTACCCACTGTAGGTCTCAGGAGATGTCTCTAAATGTCCGAATGGGAACATCTTTAGGATAGCCCTGGCAAAACGTATTTAGATACATGTACAAGTATTATTAGTAGTATACAATCTGGTCATTCATACACTTAAGTTGCATTTAGTTATATCTTTATTCAACCATTTGAAAAGTCAGAAGGAATGCGTGCATAGTCAGAAAGAAATGCGAACATGAGTGACTTGTAGTGTAACCATAGTGTTTTAGATAATTTTGGTCATCAAACAATATATCACGTGACTAACCATGTGTCCGGGTAGTCCTGTGGGTACCCGGGTCCTACTCAGTACCCATCCGACCCGGGTTACCCCGGGTCAGCCCTATAGGCTGCCCCATCACCCCATGTTTTGTTACAACACGAATCTCATTAAGTAGAAACATGATTACCAGAAAAAAATAAATGTATAAGTAGATACTTTCATTGGGTCCATACCACGAACTTTATTCATCCTCATTTGTAAACTAGAATCGTGTTAAAAAACAGCATATAAATAGATCACTTCCTTGTTGCTCTGTGCCCATTTATATTGGACAAACTATATGGGTCATATGGGTAGTTGAATAAGAACGGCGAATCAGTGCATGTCACCTTATAACAAGAGATAGCGTTCAAGTAAATGTTGTGTTTGCATGTGTGTTGTTTATCGCCACACTTACCAATGTTCCAGCCATATAACTTCGGTCTGTAAATAATCGATTCTGGATCAGATAATCCAGTGATTGTCATAATGAGAATCGATCTACGCATTTGGGTTACGATGATATGCATCAACCAAGTCAGCAAGCCTGACCACCCAATAGTGTTCTTACAACAAGCATGAGTTGCTGATGACCAATTCTATCGTACTAATTTTGCTATTAATAAATTACTGAACTTCTTGTGAAAGATGGACAATTACTTGATAGCTACTTCTTATTGCTGACTTCTAATAGCACACGGGGCCACGGGTGGCACAACCATCTAAGGCGCCTCACGCCAGAGGGTTCGAATCCCGGTTCGCCCCGATTATGTTTCCAGGTTTGTCAGCACCATACCTGTGCTCGTGGGTTTCACCAAAGTGGTAATCGTCTGAGATCTGCATCATTTCGGGCTTTCCTCCCACATAAAGCTGACACGCCGTGATATGACTGGAATAATGTTAAAAGCGGCCTTACCCCCAACTCACTCACTCTTATTGGACATCGTTACTGCGATATTAGTGGTGTGGAAAGTTGGAACATCTTGTCGGGCGAGCAGCAAACGGGACAAAAATAATTCTTTTTAAAGTCACTTGATTTGCAGCTTATCGACAGTCGATTGTATTTTCAATGTGAAATATGTTTTAGTTCTTCAATTTATGCTATATAATGAGCACCAAATGTGTAACCTCTGTCCGGTATATATGATATATATTCGTAATCAAAAACATATATATTTATTCACAACTGAAGAATGTTTTCAAACAGCAATTTTGTGACTATGTAATATGGATGTCCAGTTAGTAAATATATTTTCAAACTGACGGATGAGGGTGTATTCTACTTACATCTGTACCAGGAAGTATACAGTTATGACTTGTGATATATGCGTGTCACCCTTGACCTGCCTCTTAACCTAGATATAGATACACCGGGCATTGTCTTACTTAATGGCTATTGTCGCTTGTTGGTTGGATAGCATGAAGGAGTCGTCGTACGCGAAACATTTTATACATGAGTGTTTGTCTTTGTCATAGAAATGTTTTTATTCAATATTTAACTGGGGGCACGGATGGCCCAGTCGTCTAAGGCGCCTCGATTTGCTGTGCAGAGTTGCGTCCAATGGCCACGCCAGAAACCGATGATTGTAGGTTCGAATCCCGGTACGCCCCGATTATGTTTCTAGGTTTGTCAGCACCATACCCGTGCTCGTGGGATTCACCAAAGTGGTAAACGTCTGAGACCTGCATCACTTCGGGCTTTCCTCCCACATTAAGCTGACACCCGTGATATAACTGGAATACAGTTAAAAGCGGCGTTAAACCCAACTCACTCACTCAATATTTAACTGATGGAAGACAGCTTGTAAACGATATTTCATTAAGAAAGTTGTTCTTGTTTGTTGTTACCATTATGTAAGTTCTCTACCAAATGCTTTAACACGCATCCGTGAGGATCCTGGTGAAAATACGCCATCTGATGTTTACTGAGAAAACAGTATGTGAAATTCGGGACTTCTTCATAGATGACATCCATGAATAATTGGTATAGGACAGTGATCCGTTCATATAATCTTCACAGCTTTCTTGCCTCTTACGCCCAAAGGAATCTGTTTCGTCGAATAATCGAGACTGGTTATGGTCTGGCGTTGACATTTCATATTAAACAGAACGTTCTTATGATTATAAAAAGGGTCATGTCTCTTTTATTTATATTACAAGAAATAGCAAACTTTAATTCAAAAGTAACGTTATGATATAAGAAAATAGCCTGTGCTAGTCCACTCGGAGTTTAACCAATCCGAATGAATTATTTGAAGCATGCATCCCTAAAAGCCAGTGAAATCATTCTTTCTTGATGTTACTGAATAATATTCACAGAGCAGAATTAAATACCTCAGTGGTGTGGGGATCCTATTATCATTTCAGTCCGCATAAATATTAATTAGTTTGCTCGCAAAAATAATCTTGGCCTCGAAATGATAAGTATGTATGTGCTTGTGGTTTTCACTGACGTGACAAATGTCTGCCATTTTACACTAATTCACTTTCGTTGATCTCGAGAAATATATATCAATATTAGTTATAAAAAGAAGATATGTATATTTCACACGTTTACCTAACTGATAAACCCATGCATGCCGTAAAAGGTGACTATGGTTGTAAAAGGCGACTAACGGGATCGGGTGGTCAGGCTCGCTGACTTGCTTGATGCATGGCAATGTCTCCCAATTGCGTGGATCGATGCTCATGATATCAACCACTGGATTGTCTGATCCAGACTCGATTGTTTACAGACCGCCGCCATATAGCTGGAATATTGCTGAGTGCGGAGTTAAACAATAAATCAACAACAACAACCAACAACCTAACTGATATAATTACTATATCTTAGTAAATCATCGCACACCAGATGTATATGTTTGTATTTAATATAATGATACGACTATGCTTATCGTAAGAAGGCGACTAATGGGATCGGGTGGTCAGGCTCGCTGACTTGGTTGATGCATGTCATCGATCCCAATTGCGTGGATCGATGCTCCTGATATCCATCACTGGATTGTCTGGTCTACACTCGATTATTTACAGACCGCCGTGATATAGTTGGAATATTGCTGAGTGCGGCATTAAACAAACAAACAAACAAACAAATTCATCACTATTACACATGCACACAGGTGTCTTGTTAGCCTATCATAAGGAAGTTATAAAAGAAGAAGAAAAGTAAATACTAACCTGCAACTTGTGTTTCTACACACAGTCTAACAGTGAGCATGTGCGTGTTGCTGCTGTGGAGGGAGTCACGGCATCTGTGCGGGATAACTATCATGATGCGCCTACCATAGGGGACAGACCACGTGCCATCACACATCCGTTACCGGAACACATCAATTGTGATTCGTTCCGGCCATAAAGGCTAGGCGTTTGGGCCACTTAAGACAGTAAAAATGGGTGTTTCGTGTGAGCAATATGCCCTTTGTAAAATATTAAGTGTAGTTTACTGATGATCTGGTAAAGACTGAACCTGTTTATCGTTGTTATCTAGTATACATCGCTACATACATACGTATGCACACACACACACACACGCACACACACGCGCGCACACACACACACATGCACACGCGCACACACACATGCACACACACTCACGCACACAAACACATGCACACACACACACAGACATACACACACACACACGCACACACACACATGCACACATGCACACGCACGCACACACACACAGACAGACACACACACACACGCACACACACACATGCACACGCGCGCACACACACAGACACACACACATGCACACGCGCGCGCACACACACACACACACATGCACACGCGCGCACACACACACACAGACAGACACACACACACACATGCACACGCGCGCACGCGCGCACACACACACATACACACACACACACATTGTATAAGTTCTCCTTTTATTATTGCTTTTTAAAGGATATTGAATAACATTTTGCTAAATAATCTGTTTCGTACAATAACTATACTGAACAGCATTGAAAACGCACCGGTAATAAATCTTGAAATATTACAAAAACAACTTGAGCAATGACCGATAATTAGAACAGACATAGACGGATTATTAAGAAAGACGACAAAGGCAACAGTAATATCACACAGTAATTACATTTACGTCATCAGTGTAATGAAGACACATAGGGTTAAAATGAAAATTAAATATCTGGTATGTCCGCCATTGGCAGCAACACAGGCCATGCAACGTCTTCTCATTGATCGAATAAATCTGCGAAAAGTATTCTGGGGCATTCCACTCTTGACGTAGTGTATCTTCACATTCTCTAAGGTTCTGTACTTGCGGACGACGTGAGAGGCGTTGACCCAGGTAATCCCATAGATGTTCAATTGGCGATAGATCGGGTGACAGGGCTGGCCATGGAAGCAGAGGCACATTATTGTTCGCTAGATACTGTGTTGAAACACGTGCTTTATGCGCTCTTGCATTATCTTGCTGGAAGGTGTGCCTACCCTGGTGCTGATGAAAGAATGGGATGACGTGATTTGCAAATATGTTATTCCTGTAGAGAAGGGCATTAACTCTACCACGACAAACATGGAGCTCTGTTCGATGGTTATGACTGATGCCGCCCCACACCATGACACTCCCTCCCCCCCACCCCTCTCCCCCGACCCCCCCACCACCACCGATCTGTCTGTACAACGCAGTCATTGTGGTAACGTTCTCCACGTCGACGCCACACTCGCAGTCGACCGTAAGCATTCCGTAAATGAAAACGGGACTCATCAGAGAACAGCACACCATGCCACTGCCGCAATCTCCAATGACGATTCCCATTGGCCCAACGCCCTGCTGAGCGGAGACGTCGACGTACGGTGTCAGCGCTGATCAACCATGTGGGCCTTGTACGGTTGCTGCAGTCCTGGTAGCCGGAAATGTACGATCACGAAGATGCCGACGAACAATATGGCGATCCTGACGTGGTGTAGTTACACGACGTTGACCCGGACGTGGTCGATCTGTGGTGGTTCGTGTCTGCTGGTATCTGCTCAGTAGCCTGAGGACTGTTGAATGATGGCATTGAAACCGTTGTGCAACGACTCTACTTGACGTACCAGCTTGAAGCATGCCGAAGGCACGTTCACGTTCCTCTGCTGTCAATCTTGGCATTTCTTGTGTCAGTACCCTTTACGTCTGCAGCAACAAGTGATGTGGCTTTTAAAAATATGTCGTTTATAGCCCTATACTGCATGCTTCCCGTGAAACAAAATACATTTTCCATGATGTGCACGCAATTTGTTGCGTTTTGGCGATTTCGCTCACAAAAAATTTAGGAATGTGTTTTGACGAGCTGTTCTTCTTCATGCTTCGTCCAGAACGTCGTATATTACTCATTCAATTATATAATTTCATATGACTTAAGCCCGGATAAAAATACATCGATTTTCATGATGGTGCGTTTTCAATGCTGTATATGTTTTAAAATTTCTAGATTAAATTAGCGACTGAGATTGTTAGTGGCTGTATCCTCGAAGGGGGTTAAAGTACATATAAATTATTGTCCCCCTGAGAGGATACTTAAGTGCCACTTCTTTCAAAGTGAATTAGAACTATCACATTTTTACTCGTAGTCTATTTGTAACTTACTGGTGGTTCATATTGGCTTCAATCGAAAGCGACTGAAGGGATGGTGCAAATCTTGCTGGTTAGAGTAGCTTCCATTGACAAAGCGAACAGACCAATGGATTGCCGCGAAAGGCAATTAAAAACAATTGTTGTTTTGCGTATATGTTGCTTCGCCAATGTATAAGAAACAGATTTCGGTTGGAACTATATTGGTCACTGTCCGACTGACACATCACTTACCCTGTGACGTAATAAATATTAATGCGCGCATTCCAGGAAAACTCGCAATGTTTCGGTAATGTTTGTAAGAGAGGGAAAGCGATTTTGAAACACAGAATTACAGGTTGCAGAAGTATCGCAAGTCCCCACGGTCCCCAGTGTGGTGGCCAAATTTGGTTGCTGGCGATCTATAACTCGTTTATATATTGTGTTGTTGAGCTATATGCTCTCAAACTAGTATATACTAAAATCTGTGATATTTTAGAAAAAAATCCTTCTTATTTAAGTGCGCACACTTTAGCGTTTCGAATCAGCAATTTCATCATTGACATAAAACTGATCATGAATGGCGAATGTTAATATATGTCCTTCTTATCACAGTAGGAAGCTGTTGGAAATATTCAAGGTGGTTAAAAAAACGTGTATTCGTGTCTATATTAAAATACATATAAAATATCTACGCAATAAATAGCAAAGAACAATGAAGAATGAAGCGTGGTTGATTTCGCAATAAAACTTTGTTCTATCATGACGTTATTTCTTGATATTCGAATAAGCGCTCGCAACTTGATGACGTCGTAAATTGAACGTTATTTTTGAGAGTGAAGTGTCCAGTGAGTTGCTTCCCTTAGATGTAACTGGGCAACGCAGATGAACGCAATTGCCGAACGATCACATTCAAAAGAGGGAGAGATATCACAATCGGTATTGGGAGAAGGTACAGATGATCGACGTGATAATTGTGAGACTATCCGAGAAGTAACAAACGTAGCCCCCTTGTCTGACATTGTTGAGATCGGATTATATTCAGGGAGTCATCACTTTGTAAATACGGGTAAGTAACTTGTAAAAAACTTGTACATAGAGGTTATCACGTGAGTGTGTTTGGGGATGGTAAATATCCGGCATTAAAAATAAACATTGTATTTAGCGTGCCTTGGCGAGCTAAATACATAGTGTTTATTCCTAAAACAGGATATTTACCATCCCCAAACACACAAGCGCGATAACCTCTTTATCATAAAATGTCATTCTGTAATTCTGTGCTTCAAAATCGCTTTCCCTCTCTTACAAACATTACCGAAACATTGCGAGTTTTCTTGGAATGCGCGCATTAATATTTATTACGTCACAGGGTAAGTGATGTGTCAGTCGGACAGTGACCAATATAGTTCCAATCGAAATCTGTTTCTTATACGTTGGCAAAGCAAAACATTTACGCAAAACAACAGTTGTTTTTAATTGCCTTTCGCGGCAATCCATTGGTCTGTACGCTAGAGTAACTGCCCTTTGTCAAAGGGAAGCTACTCTAACCCTAGTCTATGAGACGTCACGGCCACGTTTAGACGTTGTTGACAGTCGGCCTGTTCTGTCATAACGTTAAGACGTTCAGTCAGATGTACACACAGCGCCAAAACGAAACAAGGTAACAATTCATACATATTTCGCCTAAATCCAACTATTTTTATTTGTGGAAAAGGTTTCAAGCCGCAGAGGTCTACAAGCACAGATATGGCTACTGATCCCGCTTGACTAGTGCCCTTGCAACAACAATTTGAAATTTATATCTCCAAAGTTGCCAAAATGCCTTAGTTACGTCGCAGATCGACACTGATTTTCAGCATATATTTTTTTATATAATTATAGCAATTATCCCTGTACTTCATCCAGATTCAGGATGGTTAATTATGACTCGATCGCCGAATGACAAGTGCGACGCCATGTTTGTTTATAAACACCGAAAGTAGTCCTTACTTGACCTTTGATATTTGCATCTCTATCCGCATATGACCCCAACGGATATCGTTTTTATCCGTTGGCCTTATCCTGCCGAGAAACCTACCCATTATATGATAAATATCATAATCACTCTTGAAGGGGTTGTACAAAATGTTGATATATCATGTAAGGAAGAAACGACTCATTGTCGTTGTTTATAAACAACTCCAATTCGTCGTTTATTTCAGCATTGCCAGAGGCACATAAATCAACTGTCCCTAATGTACACGATATCATACATAATGAAATTATTGGATTTTCTAGGTTTCATTCTTTTTATATTTAAACAATAGTACAATTTCACTTCCATATGCTGCAAGTGCCATGTGTTATGCTCACTAAAAAATTATTAGTTTGATGTATGTGTTTTTTCGTTTACAAACGAGTATCATATGAGAGAATGTTTTAATTCTTAAGCAAGAAGTGAAATACATCCCTTGTCTCAAAGAGTTTCATACCCTAAATATTCTTTTAAATGTGTTTAAATCGCCTTCATATTTGAACCGTGTTTAGAAACAAAACATGTACAATAGTGTTTAATTCATAATTGGCACGTTTGACATCTTTGCCAAATGATTTACCTGGAGAGATGCGCTGAGATGTTGTCGAAGGCAAGAAACCCGCAAAAGTGTTACGAAAGGACAACATCAACACCAACGTCAAT